TTCCTGGAGGAGTGACCCATACCTTCATTCCTGAAGGGTTTGCGCTCTTTGTCATCCTACCTGGATGTGATTAAAGTCCCACTGACTTTAATCACAGGTCATGGTGTTGTAGGGTAAAGATTCCAAGGTCTACCTGACAAAACCAGAGTCTGAATCTGAGAGTCTTTATTAAGCTGACCAGGAACTGCTTGGAAACAGTCTCACAGAGCAAGTGAGGCTTTTTAGGGCAGAAACCATATCCTGGATGGCTGTTGCAGAGAAGTGGAACAAGCAGTTTAACAGAAGCAAACATTGGCAGTTAGCAATTTTTGCTAATTGGCATCTTGACCTTAAGTTAGACAGAATTGGGTAATTTTCTAAGAGACTTTACCATAAGAGGGGTGTAAGTGAGGGGTGGGGTGAGATCTCAGTCAGACCTTAGATGGCTGCAGCATGGGCAAGACTTTTTAATAACAGTAGCACCAACAGATGCCCTACAGAATGTCCTCCGCTTCAGACATAGTCTTTCTTACCTCTACTGTGGAGAAGCAATCCAATTTCCCCCTTAGTAATCTGGATCAATTGGTCCAATCAGTAAAATGTTGTCATTGTAGTAAACCAACGTCAAATGTTGCATAAGAGATTCCCTTCTAAGCTATGACATAGAGCTAGAGGCTCATATGATATATCCTTGAGGTAAAACTGTAAAAGTATATACTGTTGGCCTTGCCAACTGAAAGCAAATTGCTTCAGGTGGTCCATGTGTACAGATACCAAGAAAAAGGGCATTTGCTAGCTCATTAGCTGCATACCATATGCCAGGAGAGTGCTGTTCTGCTCAAGTAAGGACACTACATCGGGTACAGCAGCTACAATTGGGATCTCTTCTTGATTGGAGTTTTGATAGTGAACTGTCATTATTCTCCACAATTGTCTGACTTCTGGATGGACCAATAGGAGAATGAAAGGAGATGTGGTAGGGACACATCTTTTAGGTCCTTGATGGTGGCATTCATTTCTGCAGTCCCTTCAGGGATGTGATACTGGTTTTGATTCACTGTTTTCCCTAATGGAGACAGCTTTAAGCCTTCAATTTATCTTTTCCAACCATAATAGTCTTCACAGGTCAGAGAACCAATGTGAGAATTCTGCCCGCTTCTGAGTATATCTCTACCCCAATTATATAAGACTGGAGAAATAACTACAGGATGAGTTCAGGGACACACTGAACCTACTCAGACTTCAGCCAAAACTCTCTTAACTATCTGATCTCCAAAGATCCCTACTTTAACTTGAGGGTAATGATGTTGGGGGTGGGGAGGACATGTGTCTCGTGGAATCAATTCAGAACTAGTATCCAACAGACCCCTGATTGTTTCCTTTCCCTCAGTATACAGACAGCCTTGTATAAGGACATAGGACCCTCTTAATCCAACTGAACAGTAGCATCTTTAACCCTAAGATCTGGCCCAAGGAAAAGGGCAATAACAAAACTCATTGTGCTGGTGCCCCCTCACCATTTTGCATCTGTGATGGTTTGTATATGCTTGGCCCAAGGAGTGGCACTGTTGGGAAGTGTGGCCTTGTTGGAGTAGGTGTGGCCTTGTGGGTGTGGGCTTTAATACTCTTGTCCTAGCTGTCTGGGAGTCAGTATTCTGCTAGCAGCCTTCAGATGAAGATGTAGAACTCTCAGATCCTCCTGAACCATACCTGCCTGGATGCTGCCAGGTTCCTGCCTTGATGATAATGGACTGAACCTCTGAACCTGTAAGCCAGCCCCAATTAAATGTCCTTAAAAGAGTTGCCTTGGTCATGGTGTCTGTTCACAGCGGTAAAACAACTAAGACAGCATCTTACAGGATTCATGAAGGGCAATGTCTTCTGGGCCTTCCCAACCTGGAGGACTGGGTTTTACACAGCGTATCCACACTGGCATTGCTATTTCCCTGAGCTTTGAAATCTCTTCTTCAACAGTAAGCCCAGGAATATTATCTCCAACTCCTTTTCAGTACTCCATTAAAAAAAAAAAAAAAAAAGAATGCTTCAGTCCACCAAAAAACTTCTTGATATCTCTTAAAAATTGGTTGAGTTTCCATATGATGTATGTAAATAAACCTCAGCCTGGCCCAGTTTTATGTTTCTTCTGTCATTATCCCCACACCCTTAAGATCTATTCCCACACATGCCCCCGACTTCTGCTTGAATGAATTAGCAAACTCACTAAGCTCTTGGGTAGGTAGCACACCTACCCAGGAGCTTGACTTTCTATCTCCTCTCTAGGAGCCTGCTTAGCCTTAGGTCTAGAAGCAGCTATTGTGGGCCCTGAGGGACATCAGGATTGTGTTGCCTGGCATTTCCTTCAGAGAAAAAACCACTGCTGGCTTAGCAGTCAATGGAGGATTAATTTCGTCAGTCAGGAAGAGAAGGCAATATTTCAGGGGGGTGGGAGGGTACAGTATCTTCTGCTGACATTGGAGAGACTACTTCCCCAGGTGAGATAAGCCCTTGAGAATCTGAGGGTTCAAAGTTCAAAGTTCTTGGCTTCAATAGTGCCCTCCCACCCATTCCCATCCCACGTTACAGTATCCCATTCTTTAACAGTCAACAGCTACTGACGCTGGGACTGAATTTTGGCTGTGATTCAGCCAACCTCTTTTTTTTTTGGGGGGGGGGTGTTGAGACAGAGTTTCTTTGTGTAGCCTTGCCTGGCTGTCCTGGAACTCACTCTGTAGACAAGGCTGGCCTCAAACTCAGAAATCCACCTGCCTCTGCCTCCCAAGTGCTGGGATTAAAGGCGTGCACCACCACTGCCCTGCCAGCTGGTTAATTTTAATCACAGAGCCCATTCTTTTCCTTTGATAGTTTATCCAGAGATGCTAACAGCAGCCAACAAGCACAATTTTCCTTATTTTCTCACAGATTGTCAAAAAAGTCTTATATACGGACCCACCAAACCTGTTGCCTCTTATAATTGGTCATTCAGGATAACCAAATGCTCGTCTCTCTTTAAGTTTGTAAAACAACAGTTCACAGCATGGGCTTTCAGTTCTCTCTGAGCTTCCAGGAGAGGTTTCAGTTAGGTGTTGGCAAATTGGAAAGCCTATGCTTAATACACTTAAAATATTCATCCTTATGCCCTAGAACTTCTGAGCAAAATCATATATATATATATATATATATATATATATATATTACATTTGTATGTATATTTTTATGTTTACATGTATATATTTACACACACTTATATGTAAATATGAAAAGTGGATTTATTAGAATGGCTTACAGCCTATGGTCCAGCTAGTCCAACAATGGCTGTCTACCCAGACGACTAGGTTTTAGTTCATTTCAGACATGGTCAGGTTGACAAGTAAAGTAGCCATCACACATGGACTTCAGATTTGTGACATCCTGAGCCACCGCCGTGTAGGAAAACACTACCCACTGAGAAACAACTGTCGGTGACTGGCCATGACCATTTAATCCATGACACAGGAAAGTCATCCTCAGTTCACGATCTGGCCGTCAGCAGTGTGTCCAGGAACTTGGTTCCCCGGCATGATGAGAGGAATGGGGAACAATACTTACCCATCTAGCTCAGCAGAGAGATACGAGAATATCAGTTTATTGGCTTACCCCTGAAAATACAAAAGCTCAACATGCCTTGGATTGGAAGTTGGATGCTGTTAGGAAATAAAACCAGAATTACGGTAACTGAACATTGTTTGGGCTGACGGTGCCAACCCACTACCAGTGCCCCCGCCTCCTGAATCTGAGACATTCTGACAAATTCTGATTTTTCTTTCTTCACATTTCTAGGGTCCTCAAAGGGGACTGTGCTGCTTCAATGATTCCCCCATCAGATGCATTACACAGGTGTTACAGTTACAGGATCTCTAGAAACTTGGGGTACAGCCATACCCACACCTTGTAAAGCATATCTCCATATTCATTGAAAAAACATTCACCATAGGAACTCTTGCCACTCCCAGGACCTCAGATCCTGGGACCTCTGAGGTAAAGACCCCTTTCTCTAGGAATATGTTCTCTAGGGGACAGAGTGCTACTGTGTATTTATGAAACCACCTGGTCTTGATTTCTGGTGTTATCATAAATTCCACTCTTGAGGAACAACAGTATTACATTTAGAGATGGTGGGACCAGGGAGCTACAAACCAGTCCAATCCCTCAGTGAAAAATTCCCATCACTCAGATTTAGTTGAGTATTTTATCTGAGAAGGGGCCTAGCACTTAAAACACCTAGTGAGTAGAATACAAGATGTGGCCATTTCTCAAAGCTGGCCCCAAAAGGGCTTATGACTAGGAAGATGCCCTTAACAATGTGCAGCTTTATTCTACAATGGTCACTCACATTACCATTAGGTGTGGCTAACCTTTCTCCAGTTTCCTCACATCCAAAGACCAGGACCAGTCAAGGGATCGCCAAGCAAAAGGTTTAAGTCTCCTCTCGAACATACATGGCTTCTCGTTCATCCCAGGATTTCTATGACACAGCTGTTGTGAAGTCAGTCCGAGCTAGGACAGTTAATGGAGGCTGAGGACATAGCTTATTTGGTAGAATGCTTGCGTAGCAGGCATGAAGCCCTGGTTCCCCATAGCTCATCAATCAGATCTAGTGCCTATGGGTAATCCCAGCATGCAGGAAGCAGGAAGATGAGTTCAAAGTCATGTTCATGTTTCAGACTGGTCTTAAATGCCTGAGGTCTCTGTCTCTCAAACACACACACACACAAACACACACACACACCTTAATGTAAGTGTCATTTGTTTGGACTTGGTTTTCTTGTCTTGAAAATGTTATGGAATGATTCTTTGAGAAAATAGAATCCTTTACACCCGTTAACTTTTTTTTGAATAGTTTACTAAGTAGTTTTCCGAACCACCCAGTCCTTGCTGAGAGCTAATGGGTCAACTGCAAGGACAGCCCGCCGCCATTAAACACAAACACGCACGCGCGCGCTTCCATACATACCACACACATACACACAACAGGCAGAACCACGTTTGGAAACAATTTCTGTATTTCAATTTTATTTTTACAAAAAGGCAACAAGAATAGCGAGGGGGAGGTAGTAAGAATGCTTGCTTGGTCACTCAGAGGGAAGAGATGGCCTCAGGCAGCAGGAGTGGGCCAGTCTGCTCTTCCCTGTCTCTGTTTCTTCTGTTTCTAACAGCAATAAACAAAGAGAAGTCCAGGACAGGACTAGCTGGGTTTAGGTTAGCAAGGTCACTGTATTAGACCAACAATGAGACCAAAAAAACAAAACAAAACAAAACAAAAAAAACCAAGACAATCACGCGGCCCCATCCAGAGGTAAGGCTTTTAGTCAAAAGACTACTGGGGCCTTGACTCTAGGCAGGCCGGGGCATGTTTTTGTGGTCTCCTGGGCCTCTCTCTCCAAGGCATATAGGGACCACGAGCAAAATGCCTTGGGAAGCCCCTATGTACTACAGGGGCCTGACGCTGATGGCAGGGTGGGCGGAAGTTGGGCACAGGTGGCTGGGGATAAAAGCTAAAGTCGCCTTCGAAGGCATATCCAGTGTGAGTAGGTGAGGGGCTATCTGAATGGATATAGAATTCATCTGACTGGAAAACAGGGTCTGACGAAAAATAGGAAACTGGAGGATAGAGTGGAAATGGGGGCATCGGCTGGGGCGGGGGTGGGGGTGGGGGTAGGGGACAGCCTAGTAGGGGCGGGGGCCTTACGGGCAAACCAGGGGACGGGAGTAGGGGAGGTGGCCTGGGAAAAGGACAAGGTGGAGACTGGGCAAACACCTGAGGACCTATGTTGTCTTGGGGCTGCCTTTCCTCTACCTGTCCTGAACTTTCCCATGCCTCAAAACCAGGCTCCCATGGATCTCGGTGGGGTAACTCCACACCCCATGCGTCGGCCATGTGGGCCAGCAGCAGGTAGGAGAGCTTGCGGTGCGCATGCTCATTCCAGTGCACGCCGTCTCCCTGTAGGTGCTTTCTGGCTTGACGGAAGTGGAAATTTAAGTCCAGCACATCAAAATAGTGCTTTGTTGCTTCCGCATGGCTGTAGAAATTGGCTTGGGTCACTTTCCTTTTCAGGGTGGCTACCGAGATCCGGGGGTACTGGCCCTTACACTTCTGTGGGAGGAAGGCCGCCTTGATCTTGTCACCCAAAGGCATAGCAGTGTTCCACACTAGCAGGCACGACTTGGGCAGCACCTGGTCCATGCGCCCAAACAAGTTCTCCAGGTTCTGCTTGTAGCTACTCAAGGAATTCCGCCCATACCTGGAGACGTCCCAGAGGCAAGAGTTCATAATGATCACATCTGGGGCGTGATTGCCAGTCTGCAGTTCCTCTAGGACGCTCTCCATGTACTCAGAGTAAACCCGCGTGAGGAAGTAGAAGCGCACCAGATGGTGGTCCGAGCAGAACTCGCGCACCTCGCGGTAGTCTGTGCGGTTGTGCAGGGTATCCAGCTCGCCTCCCATCTTCAGCTGGTCCTTTTCAAAGCTCAGCTCCCCCTTGGTTCTGAGCTGCTTGTTAGTGAGCAGGCAATCCTTCTGCAGCAGGAGCACCAGGTCCTTGTACACCGCCCTATGCACTGAGTCCCCAAGGACGACCACAAACTTGTTGTGGAGTAGCTGCTGGACTTCGGAGGCCAACAGGCGGACCATGGTGCCTGCGGTGTGCCTCTTAGCTCCCTCTTTTGCACAAGCTGGGTCTGGGAACTGCTAGAACAGAAGAGAGAGCGCTGGGAGGGACTCACTCTTAGGCAGAGCAGCAAGCATAAAGAAAGATAGGAGAAGCACAGTAGAGAGCTGCTGCCTAAGGGTGCCGCCCCCCACCCCCCCTCGTACCATGGGGTGGAGGGAGGAACACTACAGGCTCCAGAAGGCTGTTCTGAGGGCCTGAGGGCCGGAAAGAGGAGGTAGGTAGGGAAGAGGGCAGGAGGAGAGGGAAGCCCTCCTAGATCTGCAATTTCATTTAACTGTTGGGCAGCTCTGGGCTGCTCACGCTCCAGCCAGTCAGGAGGCAGGCACCACGAGTAACCACTTATGACAAATTAACAAGGAGATACTGTTGCTTATGTTTCGATTCTGTCTTCTCTGATAGGCCATATATTTCCCTGTCACCTCCAACAATTGCCATTTCTTGAAGCTCAAACCATCTTTAGTATGTTAAAGATTCAAGCACTACTTGGCTGGGAGATGGTTCCGTGGATAAAAACCAAGAACCGTGCGCACCTGCTCAAATTCTCAGTTACAGACGAGCAGAGCCCAGAGCAGAGCCCAGCTTACCTGTCAGCTTGCCTTGCCAAAATGGCAGGCTTCAGGTTTAGTAAGAGAACCTATCTCAAAAAATAAGGCAGACGGCTGTGCCTGGTGATGGCTGCCTTTAATCCTAGCGTTTGGGGAGGCTGAGGCAGGCAGCACCGTCAAAGGCTAGCCATGTCTGGCGAGTTCCAGACAGGCCAGTGCTACACAGGGAAAGCTGTCTCAATAAACAAATGTGAAGAAAAAGAGTGGAGACCCATAAGAGGAAGACAAATATTATATCTCCTCTAAAATAAATAAATCGAAAATAAATACATAATTAAGAAGATCTACATGAGTGCACATGTGTGTGCACACACCACCCTGCAATGCCACCCCATACACCTAAAATTAATAAAAAGGCTCTTGAGGTGTAGGCACCACATATAGAAAGCTCTAGTTGAGTCCTCTTTGTCTACAATCAAAGGGAAAACTCTAATGATGGACAGTGTCTCACCTTTGTCCCAAGCGTGGTGTGTTTTTTTTGGGGGGGGCATGTAAATATCAAACTTGATTTGTCTTTCCTCCTGTCAATCTAGTTAATCTGCATGTCCCCAGGGACTGAGCTAAGTACAGGAAAGGTTTGGCCTTACTAAACACTTTGGACGAAATGCTGACAGATGTGGGACTCAGCTTCAAAGCCTCAAAATTCAAGTGTGATGGTGCATGCCTTTAATTGCAGGGCAGCAGAGGCAGAGGCAGGAGGATCTCTGTGAGTTAAAGGCCAGCCTGGTTCACATAGCCAGTTCCAGGACATCGTGGCTATGTTTGGGATTTCGTCTCCAAATGTACAGAAACTGCAAGGAGCAGATGAAACCTTCGTTCAACTTGCCGCTTACAATTCCTCTTCTGGGACAAGAGGTAGAAACACCATTTTTTTGTTTTGTTTTTTGTTTTGTTTTTGGTTTGGTTTTTCGAGACAGGGTTTCTCTGTGTAGCCCTGGCTGTCCTGGAACTCACTCTGTAGACCAGGCTAGCCTCGAACTCTTGAACTCAGAAATCCGCCTGCCTCTGCCTCCCAAGTGCTGGGATCAAAGGCGTGCGCCACCACCGCCCAGCATAGAAACACACTTAATACTACCAATAAACTGACAGGGAGGGGCAGAGAATTCACTTCAGGTACTTAGTGTCATCCACTTGAGAGCTGTCAGATCATATACACTGTAAGCATGTTTAAGTAGGCATGGGTGGATAGCTGGCATGACATTGTCAATGTGAGAAAGGTTTTGCTGTATATACTAGGCTGGTCTCAAACTCCCAATCTTCCTGTCTTGGCCTCTGGGTGCTGCTGTTAGGAATATGCACCACTACATCTGAAACTATTTTTTTCTTTAAAAAAACAGCAACAACAACAACAACAAAACAGGGTCTTACCAGGTGATCCCTACTGTACTGGAACTTACTATGTAGACCAGGCTGACCTTAAATACCTCAAAGAGATCGGCTGCCTCTGCCTCCCAAGTGAAAGGAATGGAACCACCAGGCCCAACTAACAAATTAAAGTGTCAAGGCTATGCAGCTTGTGGTTTTAAGCGGTCACAAGTATAAATTATGAAAATAGGGAGAACAGCGAGTTTTCAGAGAACATGTGAAAACACTGACTTGTCTTCACCCATTTTCACTTAAATATTGTGATCAGAAAAAAGTTTCCCGGGAGCAGTGGTACACCTTTAATCCCAGCACTTGGGAGAGACAGGCAGGTATCTGTGAGTTAAGAGGCCAGCCTGGTCTACTTAGTGAGCTCCGGGGACAGCAAGGGCATGCAATGAGACCCTGCCTCAACAAATCCAAAAACAAAGTTCTCAACAACAGCCCGTCATCACGATGCAGCCAATGACGCATTAAGTGAGGTAATGCACACGCGGGGCTGCAGATGCCTCTCAGGTGACAGAGTGCTCAAGTAGAACACAGAGAGCCAAGAGTTGGGTCCCCGTTACCACACAATCAGGTGTGGTGGCAGATGCTTCGATCTCAGCACTTAGGAGATCAGAAGTTCACGGTCAACTGTGGCTACAGAGTGAGTCTGAGGCCAGCCTGGTGTCTCAAAAGGCACAAACCAGCAAGCAAACAAACAAAAAATCCTGAGTTAAACATTATTTGTCCTCTGAGCTCACAATTACTGATAAATTGGGCTTGCTATTATAGGACTATGTAATGTTAGCTCTTGGAGGCATGAGGATAACCCCAAGCTCTTAGGCCAGCCTGATCTACATAGTAAGACCTTGTCTCAAAATACCAAAATGTAAAAGGAGGGCAGGGGGAGTGACTTCACTGATAACTGTAATATAAGCCGAGTGCAATGGTGAAAGCCTGTAATACTATACAGGAGGATCAGGGGTTCAAGGCCAGCCTTGGACAAAACCACACAAACATGCTAAAGGAGACCTCTTTGGAACCAAGATACCATACCGGGGCAGAACACCACTCTGCTTGCTTCCACTAAATTCCTTAGCCTCTCTGTGAAATAGGACTACAGGACTGGCATCAACTTGATGTGGGGATAGAGTGTTGAGTACTCAGATACTGTTTATTCTCCTAAATCTGCAGGTCCTCACAGAGACCAGGGTGTCAGATCCCCTGAAGCTGGAGCTCCAGGCAGTGGTGAACAGCCTGGTGTGAGTGGGTGCTGGGATCTGAACAGTGGGGCCCTGAACCCGAGCAAACTCTCCAGCCAGGATGTACTTAAAACAATGCCTGTCAAGCTTCTCAGTATGAGTTAGATTTGATTCTCAGTGAGCAAGCTACAGAACAGCAGTTTAACCATCTGCAAAAAGAGGGGAAACTGTTCATCTGACATGGGGGTTCTTCTACAAGACCAAAGGAGACAATGACCAGCAAGGGTTTTGAATATAATGCTGGTATTTACAGAATGGCTCTTGGGTGACCTACTGAAAACACCATCCTCTCCATTCCTAGTCTATAGAAAAGGTCATAGAGAGACTAGAACTAAGACTCACTCATTTTATTTATAGGCAACTAACTAACTACCCTGGGTTGAGAGTTGTATGTACCCGGGGGTAGGGCTGGAGAGAATGAATATCTAAAATACCAAATCTCGTCATTCATTCTCAAGCTTGAGACACAAATATTAAACCAGGTCTTAGCATAACCCAGGAAGACAAAATACTGCAGGTTGTGACTTCCCTGTGGGAAAGTGTGGTCCCTGGTATCTTAACCAGGGAACCTTGGACCACATGCTGCTCCCAAGGCTCAGGGCCAAGTCAAGCAGAACTGTCTACAAGAATTCTCTATTGTCCTCCACGGGAGAAAAAGGTGCAGATATCGTGGAGGAGAAAAGGGAGGAGAAAAAGAAGCCTTCCAGTGAGCAACTGAAACCAAAACTCAGAGAGGAGGCAACAACCAGACAGACAAAGAAGTCAGACACCTTCTGCCCCATGAGAAAGAGCAGGCCATGCCAGGATGGCACTCCAGACAGGACAAAACCTAAATGCTACTTTTAGTGGACGGAGAGAACAGTCAGAAAGGGTGAATCATCTCAGACGTTTAACAAAGACGGGTAACTTCCAGTTCCGGGTTCTTATTTATAAGAACTGAAACAAAAAAAGGATTTGCATATAGCCAGGTTAGAGAAATTTGCTAAACTCCCTTATTAAGTTTTTGGATGTTATTTTACAGACTCTCTTAATGAAAAGGGAACACATAGTGGGTCACCTGCTGTCTCAGCCGGTGTGGAGGTCAAACACCTATAGTTCTAGCACAAGGCGCCAAGGATGTATTACTCAAAAAGAAAAACTAAAATGAGTTGGCCTCGTTCCTCCAGGGGAGAGATAAGAAAAGGCTGCCAAGGACAGATAAGGTGGGAGTTGGTCCTGCAGAGGGAAGAGCACAAGTGCCCAAGGCTGTCTGAGGAGGGGGCGGGGTTGGAGGCAGAGGGCTACAAGGACTGTCATGGCCGCCTAAAATTCCACACTTAAAATCTGGCCCGCTTTCCCAAATCCTAATTACTTTCTGTTTTGCTGCAAGATCTGGGGCTGTAACCCTGTGGGAGGAATATGCATTAATGATAGCCGCTGCTATATATATAAAAAAAAATGACTTTCAAGGAATCTGCTTGTATTTCTCAATTTGGGGGTAATTAATTTTTCAGTAGCTTCATAAGACATGAATTATAAATCTTCGACTGTTACTTTATAGCTACCCCAAGCCAAACCCAGAACATTTATTTTTCATTAATCAATGTTTTGTAGTAATTAGGTTAGTTTTGGAAGACTGACAGTGAACTAGGCCAGTTGCCCCAGAGACGGGACAGAGATCTTAAATCATACAGACCGAACAAAAGGGATGCCGCCTGCCTGGACTTCTTGCAGGAAGAACATGGAACTAGCTTAACCATTTGATACGTCTGACTAAATACCCACTGTAACATTGTACTAGGATTATAAATAGACCCTTTCTGTTTAAGGGCATTTTGGGAGAATCAAATTTACTGTCATCTATCTATCTATCTATCTATCTATCTATCTATCTATCTATCATCTATCTTTCTATCTAGTGTTTTGAGACTGGGTCGTACTACGTAGCCTGGAAATCGCTGATATTTAGATCAGGTTGGCCTTGACCATGGGAGACCTGCCTGCCTCTGCATCCAAATGCCGAGATTTAAACAATATGTCCACCTCAAATCAATATTTTTGACTTTTTTAAGATCTCCTTCAATTTTAAGGCATTGTACATATAGACAAGAAAATACTATTTCTGTTGGGCAGTGGTGGTGGCCCGCCTTTAATCCCAGGACTTGGGAGGCAGAGGCAGGTGGATTTCTGAGTTCGAGGCCAGCCTGGTCTACAGAGTGAGTTCCAGGATAGCCAGGCAAGGCTACACAGAGAAACCCTGTCTCGAAGAACCAAAAAAGAAAGAAAGAAAGAAAGAAAGAAAGAAAGAAAGAAAGAAAGAAAGAAAGAAGAAAATACTATTTCTAAGGGACTCATGTACCCAACTTTCCTATGTTCTGGTATTTTAGTTTTAAGTTGAACTAAATTTGTCAAAAATTACCTGGCCTAGCCAGGTGGTGGTGGCACACGCCTTTAATCCCAGCACTTGGGAGGCAGAGGCAAGCAGATCTCTGAGTTCGAGGCCAGCCTAGTCTACAGAGTGAGTTCAGGACAGCCCTGGCTACACAGTGAAACCCTGTCTCGAAAAACAAAAAAACAAACAAACAAACAAAAAAAAATTACCTGGCCTGTAATGGGCTTACATTAGATTGGCCCAGGCCTACTAAGACAATTATGGATCCTAGGGTGGCTTCGAACTACTGGCTACGGATATTCTGGGGGGAGGGGCAGTCACTGGGCTCTGAACTGAGAATTCACCACAGACTTTTGAATTGGGGTAAGTTAATATCCGCCCAAAGTGGTGTAAGTACTATTTTAAAGGTGGCTTTAGGGTCACATCAAATGCATAAAAGTCCTGTGAAGAATGTGGTTAAGTGTGGTCACAAAGTAACCACTAATGGGAAGCCACTGGGAAGATCAAGTCTCCTCCTCCCGGGCCAGGTGGCGCCCACCTGCTTAACAGGCCTCAACCCTTCGGCCTAGTTCAGCAAAAACCACCCAGAGGTGGTGGCACACGCCTTTAATCCCAGCACTTGGGAGGCAGAGGCAGGTGAATTTCTGAGTTCGAGGCCAGCCTGGTCTACAGAGTGAGTTCCAGGACAGCCAGCACTAAACAGTGAAACCATGTCTCGAAAAAACAAACAAACAAAAGTGTGTGTCAGGGCCTTGACAGCTGTCACTCTGCACATTTAACTTGGTTGACACTTGTGACATAAATGGAAATCTGAACCACAAAGATGCCTACCTTTTGAAGTGGGTTCCAGGTGATCACAAGTCCTGCTTAGGCAGGAGTTGAGATGGACCTGCGAGCCAGCGGCTTTACGATCCCTCCACACTAATGCCTAACACTGCGATTCTTTGGGAATTACAAGCTTAAAAACTTTTACAGCAGTTTGAGGCCAGGTCAGTCTACAGAGTGAGTTCCAGGACAGACAGGGCTACACAGTGAAGCCTTGTCTCGAAAATCAAAAACAGAGACAAAAAACCCAAAACAACAAAAAACAAAAACAACCTTTCATATGGGCTATATAAAGAAATGTAAGGAATACATTTAAGAATGAAATGGAAGCCCCTAGTACTTGCTATGGGACACTTTTTAGAGAAAACGATAACCTTTGGACAATTTGGAGTTTGTCTCTTTTTGTTTTTTTTTCGAGACAGAGTTTCTCTGTGTAGCCCTGGCTAGCCTAATTCGCTCTGTAGACCAGGCTGGCCTGGAACTCAGAGAGATTTCCTGCCTTTGCCTCCGGAGCGCTGAGATTCAAGGTGTGCACCCCGCCGTGCGGCTCCCGCTCGGATCTTTTTAAACAATTCGTGAGAATTTCATTTCAATCGCATACAGCGATGCGAATCGTTACTTCAACTTCCCCTATAATCTGTCTAACAGGGGAAGGAAAACGCTCCAAGAAACCACAGTGCCATACTGGTCTCAGCCTGTAAACTCATCTTCCGGAGCCTCGGTTTCCCCTCCGGTAACAGAGGGGATGAGAGGAGACCCGGTGTCTCAAAGGCCTAGTCACGCCTGCGGAACACCGGGCCCCCTTTCAACTCCAGCACAGCAAGCTAGCCCCACCCGGGTTGTAGAGAAAGCCCGAGGACCCGAAGCCCCCACCCCACCCCCATCCCCACCCCGGGGTCCCCCCTTCCCACCGAGCGCAAAGGCAGACACGTACCTCCTGGGTTAGGTCAGCAGCCAAGTCGCGCCGGGAGCCTCCTACATCTCAAGCTACCTCCCCGTGGGCTGACCCCGCGCTCTGCATGCTAGTCACTAGTCCTAAGGCTAGCCCCCACCCTTCTAATTTCTCACTGCTCTGAAAAGGAAAGGTAACTTCGCTGGCTCCACCTCCAGGCCTGTCCTAGCGCCTGGCCTTCAAAGCCACGTTTTTAAAGCGCTGTTTGCACAGCCTGTGTCCGGTCCTCTCCCTCCCACTCACTCCTCTGACTTTAATTTGGCTCCCAATCGCATCAAAACCGAAGACGTTTGTCAGTAAATCACCACTGGCTTCTTGGCTTCCTTTCAAAGGCCGATTCTCGTCCTTCCCAGCTGCTGTTGACCGTACTTCTGTAACGCCCTCCTGAGTCGGGTGTCACCGGCCCTGTCCTCCCCTGGAGCCTTTGCGTACCTCTCTTCTCTCCCAGGAGACTCCCTCAAAGTTGCTCTTTCTCAAGGCTCTCTCGTCTGTTCTCCAGCCCTCTTCCACCTTGGTTTCAATCACTCTCAGGCCTTGGGAGCAGTCCCTATTTTACCCCAGAAAGTTCTGTCTTTCGCCTCAGCCAGATTGTAAATGGCTTCTCTTCCCTAGACCCAGGAGGAGGAAGACAAAGGACCACCCATCACCTTATCAATACTATTTGTATGCAGATAACTCAGAGTTAGGCAATAAAGCCACCAGGCTGAGAGGGAGGGCCCGGGATTTGGCCCTGGGGTTAGATCCAGCAGGAGTTCCAGGCCAGATCTGCAACTGCCTGCTTTAGGCCTAGAGGGAAGGGCAGCCTAGTAAATTACTAGCGATTTCTTAAGAGTTGATGACGCTGCCACATTTTAAACCAGCCCTTTCTCTACCCCGGAGTTCTCAGCTGCAGGCATTCAGGTGTGTAAAGTTCTTTAGTGGGGGGAAGGGAGGAATAACAATAGCTTTTCCAGATTCTCCAGGATTCTTTACCCTCTCACCAAACTGACAATTCCTAAGACATTTCCCTCCTGACCTTTGGACAGTCTTCCTCAAGGTAAATATTAGTTGTGGCTTGGAAAGATGACAGCCTGCTCTTGGTGTTCTGAACTTTACTTCTGCATGGAAATATATGGCTGGGTGGACATAAACTCCATCCCAAAAGCTGGCTCGGGTCATTTTTATTTTTCAGAAATGGCTGTCTCCGCTATTCTTGAAACAAATGCTTACACTGATAGCTCGACTCAACTATTTCTATTTATTTTTACTTTTTGGGGAGTAGTAGGGACCCAATGCAGGGTCTGACCCATGCTAGACAAGACACGTGCACCCACATTATATTATGTAACAGATTGCATGTTAATAATATTAATCATACATAGAAGATAACATACGGGTATATATATTCTATCATTATATGTGTAAGGTAGACACCCATGCATATTGAAAGTATGCTTTAGGATTTTGCAACATTTTCAGAAGGTGAGCAGTGTTCGGTTTTACTTCTGGTTTAGCACAGTTTACATGACTAATTTTTGGCCTGTTGTGTGTGTATGCGTTTGTCTGTCTGTCCATCTGGGATCAAACACAGGATCTGTTTAAGATCTACTCATTGAAAGTCAGTTTTGTCAGAGATTCTTCCTTTTCCTTTAGGCAGGTGTCTCCTTCCTCCTTAATGCTTGGTATGCTACTCCAGGTAACTAGCCCTGTCAGGCAGGCTGTCCTCAAGCCCAGCTTCCTCCTGCTTCCACATCCCAACTGGTCTCCAGAGCCCTGTCTCAGGTCCTGGTCTCCTCGGATGTGCCCTCACTTGCCCAAGCACTGTCCTGTGCCTTCTTACACTGGACATTCACAGTGGATCCTCACAGGCCAGTCAGATAAAAACTTTAGTTTCTATTTACAGAGAAATCAACAGAGGCAAGCAGAGGTTATGCAAAATCGCCCAAGATTGCTCAGCTAGCAAAAGCCAGAACTGGCCTGTTACTGGTAGCAAGTCTTCTGATGAATTAGATAAGCTTGGAGCTTAGGTTTCCTTTCTTTGATACACACACACACACACACACACACACACACACACGGTTTCAAAACCTGAGCTTTTAACCCCAGATATAAATATTTGCTGAAATTAAAAGAAGGAAGTAAAATTATCTAGAAAGAAAGAAAAGTGTGGTGCATGTTGTTTCCCTCCTGGCTATTCTCTACCGGGAAAACAATTTTGTACACAGCTTTAAATGTTTCCACAGGGAAACAAAGCAGGTACGGAGTTTATCTGGTTCTGTTTCCACCACTCAGGGTGTTAAATAGCTTTATGACAAATTATCATTATTACTTGGGTAAAATGAGGCATTTCACCGATGATTTAGCAACATCAATCTGGTTAACATTGTTTCAGGCTCCTCCGAGGACCTTTGTGTTTTAACTTGCTGATACATGCGTTCCTCTTAAGAAGCCTAAGAAACAGGTACTTTTCATTTTCTTCATTTACACATTCAAAAATCAAGGTTGAGGATGGAATGAGCTCCCGGCTTCACAGTCACGAGCTATGGAAAGCGGGACTGGGGTCTCTGTGGTCAACCACAACAGACAAGACTGCATAGACAATAAATAGATTCTGCACCTCCTTTTCCCTTCAACACCGAATTGGCTGTTTTCCTATACCCCCCCTTTTTTTTTTTTAAAGAAGTTTAATTGTTTACCAGTGTAGGCCACATAACAGCTTGTTCTTTGGTGCCACCAAGTCTGGTGACTCTAGTTCCCCATCCCCCCCCCCCACCTGCCCAGCGACTCCTTACAAGAGAGATCTGAGAAAAGGTGGTCAGAAAATTTAAATGTATATTTAAAAGAAAATGGAAAGCAGAGCTCTGGAATCTCTCAAGGTCTTTTTTTTCTCTGTTATGCAGGGAAGAGGAGGAAGAGGAAGAGGAAGAAAAAGAAGAGGAAGAGGAGAAGGAGGAGGAGGAGGAAGAGAAGGAGGAGGACGACAGCCTGGGCTACAAGAGACCCATTAGTGAAAGAAAAATAAGAAAGAAAACAGAAAGCTGCGAAGTACTTACTTATTGAAACCACTGGTGACTTTTTAAAAAAAAGCTGTCTCTCTGTTGATTCTAGATCCTTCCCTACATAGAGTCCTTTCCTGGCTGTAGATCAGAATGGCCCAGACTCTGTCTTCGGGGTAAGTAAGTTCAGCGCTGGGTGCTGCAACTTTCACAAGGCAGTGTCTGGGGAGGTGATGCCATTTCCGGTGGCCTCTGGGGCAAATGACAGGATACAGCATTTGCTCTCTTGCTTTAGGAAGAATAATGACCGAAGTTTAAGGCTTCGTCGTTAATGTGGATGAAACCTGACGTGGTGGGTTGGCTCTGAATTCATTTTCATGTTTCCTTTCTCAGTAATTTGAATGTGACCCTTCCTGTTCTTTAAAAGTTTGGTTATTCCGTTTTAATTCTGCCGGTGTGGCAAATACGAAGCAGAAAGCGTTAGGTGTGGGGAGGAGAAGTTGGGGGAAGAGATTTGGGGAGATGAGAGAGAGCTCTCCCTTTATTTCTCACTTAGCAGCCATAATCCTGTGTTGGGGGAGGGGGAGGCTCTGTTTTTAGCCCAGCCTCCCAGCCTCCCCCTCGGTTTGCGCGCAGCCCAGTACGTGGGAGGACAGCCCCTCCACGGCTGGGAGTCGGGATATAGGCCCAAGGTGGCCCAGAAAAAGGCAGAGCTGTGACGAGGAGCCAGGTAAATGCGGGAAAGGTCAGAGCCAGCCCAGGTCCCTTCTACTCCCATTGGAAACTGTCAACTGCTGGGAAAGAAAGGGCCTCTGATGCAGCAGATAAGCACTGGCCTTGGGTTCTGGTGGGGATGATCTCACTGGGGGGAGGGACTCTCACCTCCTACAAATACCAAGATGAAAGAAGGAGGAAATGAATCAGAAAAATCAAAACCAAGAGAAACTTCAAGAAACAAATAAAAAAAAACAGTTTTTTTTTTAAATAGTGACTCTTTAACAGGTGTTCTAAACACTTCAGAGTAATTGGTAGAATGGAGTGTACTGTTTTGTGTGTGTGTGTGTGTGTGTGTGTAAAACTCAGGCCCCGCCCTCTCTCTGTCTGGGCTCCAGCCCCAGCTTCCAACTTCCATTACAATAAACAGTAGAAAGTATGGAACGTGCACTACTCTGTAGTGAGGCCAGCGGAGTGGCCCGCGCTCACTATCCCAGCACTCCGGAGGGCAGCGGCAGGAGCTCCACAAAGCCCAGGCCTATAACACGACTTTTGGCTACTTTGTGGGTTCCTTTTCCTTCCACCCTTCTCCAGGCCACTTCTTCCATACTTTCGACCCCGTAACACTAGGCAGGAGAGAGAAAGGGGTGGAGGGGAGATGGGTCTACAATATCCTTAGACTACTTCCTGCTCGTTAGGGGCATCGAGTTTCCTGGAGCAAGTTTGATCTTTGCCGTCAGTATATCTAATTTCTTCTTTTCCAAACCACAACCAACAGCATCCAACCAGCATCCAACCAGCCCTTCTATTGGAGCTCTAGCATTTATACATCCCCTGAAAAATCCAAATGTCACACACTGGCAAAAAAACTATCTTCAGCTGTCAAACCACGCCCCTCCCTCCAGTGCACTAAGTCATAGTCAGCTGATGTGGACAGTCTGAGGCAGACCCTTATCCCACACCAGGGATTAAAACAAAACATATTCTTAGAATATTTCTGTGTTAAAAAACAAAAAACAAAACAAAATTCTCACCACACAGACCAGCCTGAGCTATAAACGAAGACCCTGACTTCGGCACAAACAACAAGGGGTCCCAGAACAGTCCTGAACTTCCCCTGTAGGCTTTGCTTCGGGTATGGCTCTTTCACTGCTGTGTTATAAGGTAGGATAGTCGACTGTAAGGGCCCCTTGTCACTTCTTGAAAACATTCTATCTCCTCAGCTAGCCCGCATGTGCCTTAAAGTTCAATCCCGTACCTTCTGTGCTGTCCTCATCTTGCCGAAATTATTCCTCTCATCTTGATCAAATTGTTTTCTATGTTTTAATGAATTTTAATACAGTCATTACAGTGTCTCCAGACAGGCCTTCAGTCTGGGACCCAACTAGAAACCTGAGTATCCTTAAATTCAGAACAGTGTCTTATGTCATTTGAGGGACTCTGCCCTGACCTGGTGACGAGGGTTCTGCACATGAGTTGCAATGCTTCCAAGACCCGAGCTGCAGCAGGTCTGTGTGCTCTGAGAACTAGCTGGGGAGGGCACCAGGTTTTCTGTAATCACCTTGGAGACCAGAGACCAGAGGAGCGGTAGCAAATGCAAATGGTCATCATGTTCACAATCTTCGAATTTAAAATTTTCCTGCTTCTCAGCATCTGTTATAACCTATGTCATCAGCCTGTCTTGCTGACCTGGCTCCAGAGAATGCCTTGGAACCTAGTGAACCCCCTTGGCCTTACCCACCTCAAAAAACGTACTTCCTCGGGCTGCTCTGTTTTCGTGACATGAGGGACGCTCTTGTCACCTTCAATTTGCAAGTGGTGAAACTGAGGCTCTGCAAGAATGTAATGACTTGTCACCGTGATGGAAAGGACGGCATTTTAGAGTCAGTCCTTCCAGCTGGACAGCTGTCATCTTTGCTGCAGGTGGGCTGCACAGCCAGCACTGTCGTTCCTAATTAGTTTGCTTAAACCAGGTGTGGAGGCACCTGCCTTTAATCCCAGCACTTGGGAGGCAGAGGCAGGCTGATCTCTGACTTCAAGACCAGCCTGGTCTACAAAGAGAGTTCTTGGCTGTCCAAGACAGGGAAATCCAGTCTTAAAAACCCTAAACAAACAAACAAACAAACAACCCCCCCAAAGATTTTGTTTACTTTAAGAAAGGATACAATAGGATGGTGGGATGTGGCTCACTTGGTAGAGTGCTTGCCTACCCTGCATAAAGCCACAGGTTCTGTTCCCCACATAAACTAACTGGGCATGGTACCTCGTGCCTGTAATCAGCAATAGAGAGGTGCAGGCCGGAGAATCAGAAACTCAAGGTCATCCTTGACTATATGTGTGGGTGTGAAGTGAGCCTGAATTACATAAGGCTTGGGGGGGGGAGTCATGAGAAGAGAATGTGTCCCCACCTGAGGGAGGGGGGAGAGGGACACATACACACATACACACACACACACACACACACACACACACACACACACACGAAGAATGTGTTGCCAAGTCTCCCCTCCTCTAGAAGCAACACTACCTACTTTGTCAGAAACATTCTGTACAGATATTCCATAGCTGGAGAGATTCTATATTCTCAAGTCAGGATAGAAGGCAAAAACTATCCTGATGACAGAGTTAGGAAACTCTGGGAATCACCAATAAAGCCAAAGTTGCCTACAGAGGCGATGTGTGTTTTCCTGAGACAGGTATGTCAAAGATGATAAATAAACTGTTTCCATACAGTTCAGATAACCTATTAATCTTGGGTTATGTATATAAACCTTTACTCTCATTCCTAAACCTGAACAATAACGCTCATACATATACTTCACAATTCTGTTTATGAAAGGAAGTTCTCTTGAGCCTTGTTGTATGTTATACTCTCTGAGCAATTCCCCGAACCCTTAAACCCCACAGATCTTGTACACAGTCACTGTGGACACTAAAGGTGTTGGAGACGTGGCTCGGTTGGTAAAACGTCCATGCTAAAAATCCATGTTTAAAAAATGTGTCTTTTAATAAACGTCAACTCTACTTCATGCCAGCTTGTTTTGACGTTCTTTTCTATGGCAAAGTGAAAACTCCTGGGTTTGCCTATATGGAGGTTTCCAAGGCCCAAGATTCCTGAGCTGACAGCTCGGTGGTAAAGCCTGTCAAGCAAGTGCCCTGGAGCAAGAGGCGGGCAAAGCTACCCTTGCTCCCTTCAAGGTGCTACAGCCTGGCCTTGAAGCATGTGACTTGGTCATGTGACTGACCCCGGTCTAGGGTCTCTGTCCTCCAGTGTGGAGAGCTCTGAAACTTCAGCTCACCAAGTTACTTGGTGACTTCATGTCCACTGGTGGTGTGGATGGAGGGCAAAGCTATGGTGTAGGATAAGTGGGCCTGAGACCTCTGGCTTTGGGGCCCATGGAATGGACTCATATTTGCTTCCATGACCTTGGTGGTCAGCGAACTCCTCTGAATCTACTTTTTCATTTGTAAAATGGTGGCGACTGTGGGAGTGCAAAGACTGGATGACAGTATAAACCTGGCACAATGTGTCCATAAGAGTATGAAAAAAAAAATCCCCTCTCTCTCTCTCTCTCTCTCTCTCTCTCTCTCTCTCTCTGTCAGTTACAGCCACAGGCTTGTATGCTTTAGGGAATTGCCCAGTAAGCAGGGCAAAGATGATACAAAGAACGGTAAAGTTGCCAGAGCCAAGTCCTTGTCCTGGTAAAGGGACAGGATATCACACGTACCTTCCCCTGTGTGTGTGTGTGTGTGTGTGTGTGTGTGTGTGTGAGTGGGTGTGTATGTGTAGCTGC